GTTTTTTTTTTCGCTGACTGGCTGACTGTTGGTTTAATATCTGAGTCCTCTTGGAGTATATTCGTATTTTTTTTCATATTTGAAAACATAGTTGTAAAATGTATTTAAATTTTACATAGTTATAGTATACGTACATATAAATGTTATGCATATGTATATGAGTATATGTATTGTAAAATTCACCCATTATATTTTGATTTATCTTTTAACTTGAACTTGAAAAATAACAATTAAATTTATAAATACACGTGACATATTTAAAGTTTGATATTTTGGCATTCACCAGATTTAACGTTAAATAAATACACATTAACCGATCATTAATCTTATATCTCAGACCAATCTTGATGGTATGTTAAAATGCTCCAAAAAAATACAATTTATAATCATTAAATAAAGTCTGATAATAAGAATTGAAAAATTGAAAGTTAACACTCTTTTATTTTAAATGAGAGAGAGAAAGAGATAAAAAATATATAAAACTATAATAATTACAAAAAAATATATAAATTAATAGGTGCTATTAAGACTCAAAACATAAATTTCACACTTGTCTGAAAAAAACCCTGTATCTACATATTATGATGCATCCGGACGCATGCGACTGTTGCTGCGGCATCTGTGAAGTAGGTACTGCAGTATAGTCATAATTTCTCAAATGAATTTTTGTTTCATATATTTAGCTCTGTTATTACACGCACATCTTATTATATTGTTATAAGTATATAGTAATAGTATATATAGTAAAATGTATTATAGCTCAATACAATAATTAACGGTTATACGTCTAATTTGAATAGGCCTTACCTACCTATTATTATTATTTATTACCAATTACCCGTTATCGTCGTGTATAATATGCTGCTGCAGTAGGTAATAGCTGGTTTATGTATAATAATAAAATATATAGATAGGAATGATGTTCGGTTTTATTAAAAATTAATCAAAATAATAATTATAAGAAGCAATAATAACAACCATATTTTTTAATTTTCATAAATGAGTAATCGTTAAAATACTAAATAATAATCCAAGTACTATTGAACATATTTTCACAAAAAAAAAAATATGACTTACATAATTTGATTACCTAGTACCTAATGTTATTGTGTTGGAGACATACGTTTTACATCAATATTATTATTTTATTCACTATATATTATATTATTTTATTTTCAAACGATGAGTGAAATAGGGTTTATCGATTCTGCCTGCTATTTATTTATGTCGATTCCGCTAACTTTATTAAACAATAACCGATTTACTCTATTAATAAAATATTGTATGGAATTTTTTTTACTATCAGTATAGGTATACACAGTTCACCATGATCGTAAATTTATCTTTTTTTATTTAAATAATCGTCAAACATTGTCGTCCACAACGGAAAAACTTACAATGTCAACTTACAAAATATTTTACAAAAAGTAGAGGTATCTATTAAACAACCCAGTTATACATCAATATGACAGGGACAAAAATATAAGATACAACGTAAAATTCTTTAAAATTATTTAACTCAAATACTAGTGATTTGTTATATTTACAAAATTAAAGACAATTGTCATTTTTTTTTTAATTGTAATAATTTAATAACTTATATGAATTAGTGCCAGATGTATAGAATATATACTTAAAATAATTAAATATACAGTATAACATTTGTCCCAAAATTAAATTAATTGATCATTCATAATACAATAAATACAATAAAATATAAAATCAATAATCAATATAATATAACTCAAATATACGGATAACCATTATCTATTTATCAACTTCAAAAAAGTATATTTCGAAGTTCAGTTATGGTATGTAGTGTGCACTAAATACTAATGAAGTAAAACATTTATATAATGACATATCAATATATTATATAGGTAGTATATTATATTTTGTTGGTGTTATAACTTATATATCATAAAATAAGCCTTTTACAGCATTTCGTCTTATTATTATAAAAATATGTGAATCATTGTCAAATATTCAGCGGATTGATAGTCGGCGGAATCAACATGTAAAAAAGTTCGGTGGAGTTGATACGCAGTGCGAGTATATACAATCGATCTATTTTTATAGGTAAAAAGGTCATTTCGGAGCAATTATTGATAAGGACCCAGTGAAATCAATCGATAAAACTGTTTACCGTCACCGCCTTTATAGTTTGCGTCTGTGTACCTATACTGTATACCATATTAGGTACCTATAGAAAATATGGAAGGACGGGAGGTGTAGATAAATCAAAAAAACGAAATTGTTCAGATCATCTACGTAGGTAATAAATATTGAATAACAATAATATAATATTACGTGCTATTTGGAAAAACTAAGTCAATAAGGCTGTTCTTGTAACACATAGGATTAACTGGATTAAGGATTAGGAAATAGTGACGATAGTGTCCACCCACAAACAGTTCATATAAATAAAATCGATTAGGTACCGATAATGCTTTATTTTTTGTTAATAACACTAGTTCACTACCTACCGTAAAAGAGTCCTGATGACTGATGTATATTGCTGCGTCAATGCGTCATTTGACTAATTCGCAGAATGTAAAAAAAAAATGTAAAAAATACATCTATATTAACAGACTTCAGTTAATACATACAAGAAAAACATAATATGTATACAGGTATAGGTGTTTAAATTATGGGTAAGAATTCCACAAGGTAAAGTAGGATTTTACATTTCGAGGAAACTTTTATAGCTTTAATTGAACAAACGAAAATTCAATAGAAATATTTATTTGCTGTATGTAATTCCGAAGTAGATATTCGCATAAATGTAAATATTCAACATAATTTCCTATAAAACCTTTATGTTGGCTACTCCCCTACCGCCAGTGGAGCAGCCAAGATTTTGAAGGGGGGGGGGAGGGGGTTAAATATAAATTAAACCGAGTTTTCTACACTTTTCATACATAAATAGATAATACATTTATTAGAGGGAAAACAGTCAATGGAGGCGAGAGGGTTAAACACCCAACCCCTCTCTGTTTACCCCACTGCCTGCCGCAGTACCAACCTTGTTTGCGGGTACTTACTCTGCGTGTAACGAGCCTATACGTGACGAACTTTTTTACAATAGAATATAAGTCACTGTGTACAACACGCGTATAGGTATTTATATTTTTTTATATTGATATAAATGATAGATTGACCGGCAAGATCGATCCTAGAGAACATCGTAGACCGATAGAAATACAACTTTTTTCGTCGCTTAATGCGTTCGGTTATAATTCCATCGAGTTTGACGGGAAACTCCGTCGAACCCATCCACATAATCCATCAGCTTGTCGTTTGGAGTTTGACGTGGCTCTAACCACTGCCGCCGGCCAGGGCCTCGCCAATGGCCATGCGTTTGTGGGCGCTCGTCAAGTCTGATTAAACCGGTCGGTCGGGTCGTCGTCAATTGACCCAAGACACGCGACTGCTGTGCGTATACATGCCAATCGTTAGAAAACTCATCATTTACAATATGATAATAATATATCGCAGTGTACATAATGGTATATGCTGTATAGTATATAGTCGTTATACTACAATTTTCTTTTTTTTTCTGTTGCCCGTCTGCTTAATAGAGTTTACAGTCATATAGTAGATGATAATATGTTGAGTCTTAATTAAGTCCTACATGAAGTATACATAATAATTTGCTTAAAAACCATGAATATTACTAAACATACCGTGGACTTAACAACATGCGAGCAGATAGGAAAAATTAAATTATATTTATAAGAATTATGTATATAAGTAATTAGGTAATAGTATATATTATATACTTACAGCAATAAAAAATTAAAAAAGCTTTTCGACTGCAGTACGAAGTCTGGTATCGTAACTATAATGACGTATTTACTAATCACTATTACCCTTGTCATTTCAAGGCGTAACATTTTAACTGGAATTATGCGTTCGATAAAATGTTGCTGAACATAGTATAATAGTACCTATAATATATGCGTTTCTACTAAATTACAGAAAGTAATCCGGCATATAAATATTATTATTACTGAGCTACGTAGGTACCTACTGCCATCGCCCATCAGCTATGAATATAGATCATTGTCAGTTCTTGTAAAGACTAAGTATAGTAATCACTAATCACTTAACAGGCATTGCATTCGAACATAGTTTTAAACTATACAACTTTTAAGCTTTAAAGTAGATTTCAACTTCTGTTATTACTGATGTCCATTATCCGATTGGAACTTTTAGCGATAACTACAACTCACAACGAGTGTTATAATTATACAGATGAGATGAGACTATATGAGAGTATTGCAAAACTCTATGATCATAATATAAAATTATTATTCATTGGACAAGCCCAAAAATAAATAGATAGGCATCCAGTTGAGTTCTTGATTAGTTGATTAAGATTATAATTTAAAATTTGACAACACATCACAGGATTCATATGTAAGTTACTTTGGTTATTGTTTAATCGTTGCATCTACCCGTTTATACTGAGTGCAATATTATCTTGAATCGTTCAGTAAGTCCACGAAGCGACTATACACAAAAACTGTTTTAAAAAATACAATCGCTTCGTTCAAAATCCATAAAAAAAATCCGTTATGCCCGTCGAAAACGCTGGGGATACACGTAGAACATAATGAAACCGATTATTATGTAAAAAAGTTTTCATTGTATACATAAAATGAGTTACCCTAAAACCCTGAATTATCGACAGAATCCTTTCGGCGGCGCCGGTTAATGTGGTGGTGGTGCCCGGGTGGCGCCAATTCCGCCATGTCTGGGATGTGAACTATACGAAGACGCTATTATACGATTTATTTGGGAAACGCTTAAAGTGTGTGGTTAAATATTATAAAATCCTATGTATATTATATTATATGGTTATGTGATCGTTTTATAATTAAATAAGTTAAATATTTACAATCGCATTGATTAAACAACATATTATAATTTATAATAGCCCATGTATCTTCAACCTTCTTGCACTGTATTGAAATATTTTATTAACTGTATTTCAGAACAAGAAGAAAGTGTCATTGAAGAAACTCTGACTTGCGAATCGCCGGAACCGATGTCCTGTTATCTGCACCACGATCCCGACCATCCCATGTCGTCGTTTTCCGTCATCAATAAGATGCGAGTCAACATCCAAGTACGACAACTTAGTACAAAAATTATACGATATTCGTGTAAAATTATATTATTTTATCAGATTCAGTAATTTTTTTTTCAATATACTTTACAGCTCTGTGACGTTTCCCTTCGAGTCGGCAACAGCGTAACAAAAGCTCATAGACTGGTGTTAGCCTCATCCAGTCCTTATTTTTACGCAATGTTCAACGGTGAGAATGTTAAGTTTTTCTTTTTTCCTTATTAAAACATTTTATTTTTTCAATAGACGACATGGCTGAAAAATTACAATCCGAAGTCGAACTACATGACGTAGACTTGGGTGCTTTACAACTTCTAATCGAGTATACATATACTGGCCAAGTACACATAACAGACGAAAATGTTCAGGTTGGTATATAGTATAGACCTACCTAAATAATGACTAATATAAAGTAATGACGGTTATTAGGATAACTGATTTGTTCTTAAATCTGAAATACCATTTTCTTACAGAATTAATGTAGTTATGTATCTATATCCATCTAACTACCAACCGAGTTCGAATTTAAAATAGAGTACATTTTGAGTGTTTTAAAATTTATTCATAGCTTATATATTACTGGACTATTTGTGTTTATCAACACTTGTAATACATTGTAATAAATAAATAAATTAATATGTCTATTATCCAGTTAATGTATTTCATAAATTTAACTAAATATTATTTATAATTTTTAAGTGATATACTTAACAACTTAAATCTAAGATTAAAATAAGCACATACCTACGACCTATATTAATTATGCATAGTTGATAAATTACAGTTTATATCAAACGCATATTGATTTTCATTTGTTTTAATAATTTTCAAAATAATTTATATTTTAATATTTTATTTCGAGGTTAACAATAAGTAAGAAACTAATGTAATAGGTAATTCTTTTCACAGAAATACGTAATGAAATGTTATAGCCTGTAAATAGTTTATATAATTTCAAGAATTAATTTTTCTGTTTAACCACTTCTAATTATTAAAAGTGAAAGAAAAAAAAACGAAATTTAATTATACGGAATAGTTTTAGAAATTATTTTTTGGATATGTAAATATTTTGTGTTTGGAATTGACTTTGTAGTTTGTTCTTGGTGCTAAATACTTAAATATCAATACGTCAATACCTAAGTCGGAAATTAAATAGGCATTCAATGAATCGTCATGACGTCACCATGCGTGATGTCCAACGAGTTCATATAATATTATGATACATCATATATAGGTAGGTTGAATTGTGGGAATAAAAGTGTCTGTTTTCAATATTCCGTGTGTTGTTTTATTTACTCTGTATTGAATGTATTTACTATTAACTCTCGGCTCAATACGCTCACAGTCACAACTCTTAAAAGTTGTTAAAAAGTTATAACTGTTAGTTACAAGCGAGGTTATTGTTCTGTGATTATATTATTTAAATTTTAGATAAGCGAAGTCATCGTGGACCAACACTTTGGAAGATGACTCCTCTTATCAAAATTTTAAATATTTGCATAGTAACATAAATAAATAATTAACTACTCGTTCGAAATCCAATTTTTAAGAAACAAAATACTACGAGAAAATATTCTGCTTCTGGACATAAAATAAAAATATATGTTATCATTCAAATTGTTAACAACTTACAAAACATATTTTTTTCAAAAATGTTGTCTTTGATTAGTATATATATATATATTGTATATATTTTTTTTAAGTTCGAACTTTTCGAAATAATGCGTATAGACACTTATAAATTGATCTCAATAATAGTAATCTGGCCTTCCCGGAGGGCTCAACATCAGTAGGTACAACATAATACATACAACTTTATCTGCTGTCATAAATAAAAAGTGTGTAATCATCTGGCTACCTTTCTTTAGTTGCTTTCCGGCTACGTCAAAAATATTATCATCAACAAACCTCTAACTAGAGACGACACAACACCTGTGTATACGTACTTACATAGGAATACAGATTCCCATCTCAAAAATAAGATTAAAGGGCATTGGATAAGGCATATACAAAATCGTATATACTTGAAACAACCCCTCGGGAATACAAAGGGAACTAGAAAAGAAAGAAAACCGAAAGTTAATAAATAAATATACACGCACACGCCAACTACAATCCTATTATCATCAATCTCGAGGAAGGACGACGCAAGTTTTCTCTTTCTCCCAAAACAATTCTACGTTTATATCTCTTTTCTCTTGCCTTATGTTTTTTAATGGTTCACGTCAGCCTATTTATAAATAGATAGGTACGCCAATAAAAACCAAAACTGTTTAATCTGACTAATCGTGTTTTTCTGTTTACGTCTTTAAAGTTTGCGATTTTAATTGCATTTTTGTTTCGAATCAATCGGATCGATGTAAATAGTTGTCCATTTAGAGTCTTACTTTCGTGGAATGGATCGTAAAAAATCCCGTCGGGATACCAAATTAGTCGTTGACCTTATTCGGTCTATTACACACCATGTAGCTTATAGTCTATCGTCGTGTCATTTGATTATGAACTTTTGTTTGCCCTTAACACACAATCCGTCTCCCTCGTCCACGGTCATAACTAGGTCAGACGTTACGTGCTTAAGGACTGACGTTAAACGTCATACTAATAAATATATATTGCTAGTAGTGATGTCACAGTATAGTGGTGGATTGGTGGTGTGACCGTCCAAGGACACCACCACCGACGCCGCGTGTTTTATTATCGACAAATTTTCCGCTACACGGGATTTTCATATTGGTATATCAGTATACGGTTTTGCTATAATATCATACGGTGTTGTTTTTTCCCACAGGTACTGTTACCCGCGTCGTCATTGCTTCAGATAAACTCTGTCCGAGACGCGTGCTGCACGTTCCTGATGAAACAGTTGCACCCGACTAATTGTTTGGGAATCAGGCAGTTTGCCGGTAAGTGTCGTCGAATACCGATTATAATGCAATTAAGTACCAAGTATACTGTAGTTTAATTAATAGCCTGTATAAAACGTATACACAAATACGAATAATAAAATATAATTTTTTAAGTCATGGGTACGCGAAACTAGAAAATGTTAACAGGACAGGCTATTAAATGGTATAAATTTGAAAAAAAATCTAATTACAAAATATAAGTTTTAAATTTTAAATTCTATTAAATTAGTATGTTATCCAGTCAGTATTAGGTCAGGGACTGGCCTGACCCGTAGTTTCACCTATATCTATGTTTAAAGTTAAAACACGAGTATACCTACGTCCTACATACATTTATATGACTATAATATAGCCAGTATAATATAAGTCCAACATGTCACGTAATAAATATTTATTTATTCACGACAATAATCAATATCGATTGCGAACGAGTATTGGATAGTGTATAAACTATAAAGCGTATATTATTTGTAGGTATATACCCGTGGTTAATATAATATAGGTATTGTGTAAAAATGTAAAATGTCGAACATGATCTATCAACTGAGATTTAAGCACCCTCGTCTCGCGATACGGATCGGTGCAGACAACTCATATATAAGTTTCTTGCTCGCAGAAAACCCAGATTAACAAGATTCAAATAATGACTTCTTAAATAATAAATTATCACTAAGACTTCTCCTATATCGTGTAAGTCGTTGTCGTAGTGCGCTTTCGTTTTCTAGAGGCGATTGGCTTTAAGCCATCTCCCATCTGGAAGCCTAGGGGATTAACGAGTATAGGGCCCAAAAAGTAAATTAACTCTATAGAGCTGGGATGGGCAACTGGCGGCCGGCGTACTTTTTTATCTGACCTTTGATACATTTTCAAATTACTTTTTACAACTTTACCGTTTATCTATATTTATAAATTACGTTTTTCATAAGTAATAAATTGGTACAATAATCCTACACCAGTAAAAATTAAAAAGCAAGATGCATTACTTTAGAAATATATGTTTTACAATATATTATAAATAAGTTAGTTGCCAACAAATCCATGTTTCTATCAACAAAAGATATTACGTGTGCTTTAGGAAACGATTACCCGTTGAAAAATTCCACTCTTACGATGTTTTATCAATTTTCTATTTTTTGTTAAAAATGATATCTATGCTCACTGCTCAGGCCCTATGGATTTAGACGGACTAATCATATAAGTAGGGTACACTTTTAATATTACTTAATATTATAAACTATGTGTCTATGTAGCAAGCGTGCTATTATATCTATTTGATATATGTATATTGTATATATATTATATAAGTAACCCCTTCTCCTGATATTATTTTCGAAGTTGCGCCACTGTGCATTATGTTATCAAAGATTTATTATAATTTTAACAAGTTGGGGTTAAAATAATAGAGTAGATTTGAATAAATATAAACACAAATCGTTTATAATCATAAGGAATAATAAATAATTTATAAATGATATATTTTTTGATTGATTTAGAGACGCACTCGTGCAACGAGCTGAGAACCCGATCACACCGCTACGCATTGCAGAATTTCGAAGAAGTGGTGAAAACTGAAGAATTTCTTTTTCTATCGTTTTCTGAGGTAATCGACCTGCTGCTTCTGTACCGAATTTTGTTTAAGTACCGAATATATTAATAAAACCCTGCTGGGACTGCTGCGGCGAGCCCAAAGGTCGTCGACGCTCAGCGGTCCTTTGCAGAGTGGGCTGTGGTCTGTCACCCCAGACAGACTGGGGTAGAAACTTGTAGTGAGTGGGTGAAACCTCACAGACCTGGGCGAGGAGGGTATGGCGTATATTATGGCGTCACAGACCGTCGGCGGTAGGTCCTTGACAGCGCGCGGTATAGACTAATGAGAATGTTCACCCCGTGCGAACGTTATAACTTGCGACTACCCTTCCACATAATATTATTATTATAACTTATTTATATTAAACTATCTCGTGTGAAATTATTTTTCAATCGAGAAAAGCAATAAGATTGTAATATACCTAACTAAGAAACGAGTATATTATTTGTTATTATAATAATTTAAATAATATCATCATTACAGAATTAGTTTATTTTTAAAATGTTCCTTGATATATTACATTAATTTATTCCGGCTACAATGGCTATAGGTACAGTCTGTATGCCAAAAAGTTAAATGTTAATTAAATTTCCCTTCGGCACAGACATACATTTTAAATAGCATACATAATATTTGTGTGTATATGACATCGTTTGTCTGACGTCACGTGAAATGAAATGATGTCGTTTTATTCGTCAAGACTCTCTCCACGTCTGTCTATTATTTACGACGTATAGGTATGTTGCTTTTTAACCCGCGGCAGAGATCTTATTATTAATGTAATGCACATAGAACGAAACAATATTATACATGTAATATAAAATCAATAGGACACGGCGATAAAATATAGGATAAAGTTCCACAGCGATTTAGATTGAATAAAATACTACACGAGCTTATATTATGTTAGTAGACAGAATCAACCTGCATTTGCCTCCGGGGACGCGTATAATAGCTTATATATAGTATATACAGTATATTGTATGTATGGTGTTTATTTTAATAACTAATATGTGATATATATATATAAAGTGTAACACGTGATCGGAAAATTGATTAAAAACAACGCATGAGAAGAACGACAGCGGTGAAATAAATTAAGCCAGAGTAAAAGGTTAACTGGAATATGGAAATAAGTAGGTACTTGCAAAACTCGATCGCTTGGATGGATACACCTATACCTACCTAATGATGTATCGTCACCCGGTTGAATACAATTTTAACGATTTAGACATGTGAAAGACGAAAAAAACTGCGGTATAAGACTTACCACTTATATAATTTTCAGGTTGAAGATTTAGTATCCAACGACAAATTGAACGTTGTTTCAGAAGAGCAGGTTTTCGTGGCTGTCATGGATTGGATCAAACATAATCCCTCCGAACGATCTCAGTACATCGCTCAGGTACAATGGTCAATAATAAACTCAGACTTTGATAGAAAAACGAATTTTATAATATACAGTGATTCGCCAAGCACGCTCTTACCCATTTCTTCATTTAATAAATAATTAATTAAAATGTTTTGAATTGCCTAGTAGTGATCTCATTTTTAAATACTTAGATTTTGTACAATATTTAAAGAGTGTCTTGTGGAGATATCAAACTCATTTTTTCAAATGAGAATCTCCCTTTTCCCCTTAAATATTGTTAAGTAGATGATTTTTTTGAAAATAATTATATATTTAATTAGAAATTTGAACGAATAGTTTTTGAATTATGTAACTTTGTACACCATTTGAAGATTATAGTCATTTATTGATCGATCGAAATTTTATATTTTGTAAAAAATGTCTAAGTATAGTAATTACTAATTATACCTATATTAGATTATTTTTATTATTTATTAGATTAAATATTTCATGAATTTATAGTTTTATAAAACAAATTGTAAGGACTATTATTTTAATTATTATTTATTACAATTCTTTGGTAAATACTAAATAATTTATTCTATATTAACTCGGAAACTACTCGTTTTAATTTTGATTTAGATACATCAACATTTTCAAAAAAAATCATCCGCTTCATGATTTACAGTAAAAAAGCTTGGTTTTCATTTTAAAAAAGAAGTTTTGTATCGCTGTACCTAAAACACTCCTTAAACGGTGTGAACAATCTAATGTTAATTGAAAATATATAATACGGTCCTTAAGTAGTTCAAAAGTTCCTCAATAATTCCAAAAATCCAAATTTGAATAGATATATTATCCAAGAAAAAATTGGAGGTTATTGGTATGCTTGGTGAATAAAGCTCCATAATATATATTTTATTATATTAATCGTATGCACTACACAATACGATGCCACTGGTGTTCTGCAGCAAAAAGACATTTTTATACAGATATAACAGATAAACAGTTTATTATAATTGGTAGCTTGACATTTAGTCGTTTAATATTCCTATATTAAGGGAACTCGCGACAAAAAAATATTTAACGTCTATAACATACCTTGTATTACAGCTTTTGGGCCACGTGCGACTAGCCCAAATGTCAAAAATGTTCCTGTTGAACGTAGTGGAAACGGAACCGCTGGTGCGCAGCGAGCCCAGTTGCAAGGACCTGTTGTTGGGCGCCATGAAGTACCATCTGTTGCCGGACCAGAGGTCCGATTTTGCTAGCAAACAGACCGAGCAACGGAGCCCGGATGGCCTGATGCCGTACATATTCGCCATTGGTGAGCATTCGATGATGAAATATTTAAAATACCTTATATATACCTGATTATATCTGCCCAGTGTGTTATTCTATAATCGAATAATTTTATATTTTATCGTTGAACTTTAATAGGAGGTGGTAGCTTGTTCACTATACACAGCGCCGGTGAGTGTTACAACCCTAGACACGACCGTTGGCTGCCCATCGCGCCCATGTCAAAATGTCGAAGTCGTGCGGGTATCGTGTCGCTGGGCAAATTGATCTACGCTATCGGAGGGTATTATTATTATTATTATATCTATCTACACCTAATGTCTGTAGTATACAGCCATGCACGTACTGAGGTACTATACGCTGTACCTATTATTTGGTGACAAATGAGCCTTGCGTACCCTGCAGGTTTATATCCATGAACGGGGTTTGACTTATTTTAGATGGATAAAATGTTATGCGTATGTTCTCCACTATAAAATAATTTATTTATACCATAATATTGTAGTAAAAAAAAATACATATACATGTATAAAGTATTTACGTAATATGAAATGTAAGTATGTATATTTATACACTATAATTATTATACATTGAAAGAGATATGAAAAATTAATAGAAAATGTATTTCACACTTAAAACATTTATGTTATTGTTATAGTTCATATACTATATTGTGCACGGTATACCTGTACATTTATAATATGTAAAAGTTTACCTACTTTAAAAAATACATACGGTTTATAAGAAATGTGCTATAGACAATAATAATAAAAATAAAAATGTAATTAAAAAAGTTATCGTTATCTAGATCATATATTATTAAAACAATTATATAATATTAGAATATTATTTGGTATAGGCACCTTTATATTTCATTTTTCACTTTCTGAGATTTTTCCTCCATAATATTAATTATACAATATAAAAGATACTGGACAATAGTTCTTGTTTCACCTACACATATTTGACTTACCGTTTCTGCAGCATGGCGGGACATCGACTTTTATTACTTCCCGCTTTCTGAATTCCGGGTAATACCTCAGTTAACTTTAAAATCAAATGTCGAACGATTGAATGTATAATATGTATATATTTATGTAATTACCTATGTAGTGTATATTTGTACGATTTTTCACCCTTTGATATTATATTGTTGAATTGTTGATAATGTTTAGATACGATGGCATAGTGGATCTATCTTCGGCTGAGTGTTATGACCCGAATTGTAACAGGTGGTCGGCAGTCACATCACTAGGCACGAAGAGAAGCTGCCTAGGCATTAGTGCCAACCACGGGTTGCTGTACGTATGTGGTGGTTTTGATGGAGCGTCCTGCCTGAGCAGTGTGGAACGATACGACCCACTGACTGGCGTTTGGTCGTCATGTCCTAGTATGACCACTCGTCGACGATATTGCCGCGTATCCGTCGTCGGTAAGACAAATAGTTTAAGAATGTTAAGATGTATATGATATTACTTTTCAAAAGATGACTATGCAGTCTTGCTTCACCCGGCAAAATTTTAACTGATAGATTATCTCGACAATAAATAGTAATACTACAGTTAAAATACAAATGTATTTATTTGTTTATTAACTATCATCATTATTAGAACAAGTTCCAAAATGTACATTTCTCAAATTTCCAAGTAAGTGTCTAAGCAGTACCTACTTGAATCTAAACTCTCATTCAACCAAATTGTGTCCTACTCACACAGCCGCACTCCTTACACGTGAGTACGCGACATCTCGTACACTCTCATAGTTTCACCTGAACCTACACAAACGTCTCACAGCTATCCCGGCGAAACTCAGTGTTCAGGTCACTGTTAAATAGACCTCGTAGATAAATAGGTTTTGTGAAATATCTCGAACTGTCCCATATGAACTTTTTTGTTTAATTATTGGTCAATCGGAATACATATGTATTTGTCTATACATCTATACGTTTTGTGGTTGCCCTCTAGACAACTGTCTGTACGCTCTGGGAGGCTTTGACTCGACAAACTACCAGTCAACCGTTGAAAGGTACGATCCGAGAATGAGCAAGTGGATGACTGTGCCGGCCATGAGCAGCAGACGCAGCAGCTGTGCCGTAGCCACGTTGGACGATATGCTTTATTGCGTAGGAGGCAACGACGGTACCATGTGCATGTCAAGTGGCGAAAGATTGAACGTCAGGCGGAATGCTTGGGAGCCCATAGCCACCATGCAGTGTCGCAGGTAATTCTCTAAGACAGTATTTCCATTTTCCTCAATTCATGAGTTTTTACTTTTTACTTAATTTAATTTAAGTCTTGGTAGTTGGACAGTTGGTAATTCGTATAATCGTGCTACAATAGGTATACTACTCTTGCGACAGATAAGCGCAAAATCGCAATTTTCTCTCAAAGGATGAACCAAATTCATCTAATTTATAATCTCATTTCAATACAATAATTTACAAAATTAACGGCCTAATTATATAGGTGACACGCTGTACGTCTTACCTGCTTCGAGAAACGATTGACGGACGTGTGAAATAATAATTGCCGCTAATAGCCAATAGGTACCTCGTACCTAAGTATAACATAATGTTTCACTCGTTTCGCCAGAATTTTGTTGAATTTGGCAATATTAATATTAATACACACTGGTAGACGATTAACGAAAATCGAAAGGCACGAGTGCACGACTGTCACTAAAGACTAACCAAACTGGACCCCTATCATTTAGTACCTGTAATGTGGACTACGAACGCCACGGTAGATTTTCTACCGCGGTCGATGTGACCTTGGTCCATTGGAGTAGATGATTGCGATATTTACATTGGTAGGTCTTAAGACTTAAAATGGTAGCCGTAGATTCTTATCTCCGCGTCAGTTAGCCGTAGTCCGATTCTCGACGATTTTCGTTCAAACCATTCGCATCACCATCATTCGATAATGCGGAAATAGTGTAGAGCATTGAGACAACATTCATCATCAGTTACAAATGTTTAATTGAATGGTTTTAATATTTATCAAATGTTAGATTTTAATATTACAGATTTAAAAACGTCTAGGAAATGTTAAAGAATCTCGATTTTCCTCCTCCGTAGATGAGATGGGTCTCTGATTGTAATACATACTAGTTTGAACACTATTGAGTTAAAAACTAGTCTGTCCTAAATTTAAAATCTTTTTACCAGCATAAACTTACGAAATACCTCTACTTACTCTTGTAACTCCTGTATGGAATATCATACAATTGAGAATTGACTAAAGCCATAGAACATAGGATTATTTTAGGTGCATTTATTTGACTTATGTCTAAGCAGGTACTGAATCGCTCACGTTTAAAAAGTTACGAGATAATTATAATGTGCATACACGAGTAAATTGTACCATTTGATCAGTGTCTCCGACACAATATATTGAGTATCGGCATAACAACAGGTACATTAATCGGTGTGGTTGACGTATGTTACAGGGCTACCCACGACATGGTCGAACTGGACGGCGGGCTACTAGTGCTCGGCGGCAACGACAGCAACTCGAGCCTGCACTCGACAGAGTGGTACGATCCCCGGATCAATCGATGGACTATGTCGACGCCGATGCCGACGCGCCGGAGCTCGGTGGGCGCCGCTCTCCTGTACTGCTTCAACATGGACGGCAAGCTGACAACGGCCGCCGGCGCTTCGAACGCCGCCGCCGTCATGAGTGGAGGCGTCGCGATGGTGGCCGCCAGTTCTGGAACGGCTTCCGTCACAAATTCGCCGTACAAGTCCACTGCCACGTCCGTATGATTGCCGTGGTCGACCACCAGCGGTTGGCGGTCGAACAACAGCAACAACAACAACAACAACAACAACAACGATTCCGAACGTTCTCACTCGTTGCCAAACTAGCGGGCGCGCACGACGGTCGAGACCATTCTATACATAGACAAGAATAATTGTATATCTAAACCCGTAGCGATCGCCTGCGACACTGAACAAGGCGAAAACATTTTTTGAAAGAAGAAACTCGCCACAGCGCAGTTATAGTTGTGCGCATATATATATATTATTAATTATAAATGTATTATCTTGAAATTTGACTTGGTAGGTACCTATTTTGTACTCACATTAGCGAGTTCCATTCATTGTATCCCTCTCTATCTTTCTGCTTGCTGCCGATGTCGTTTACAATTTTACATCGATATCCGAGTATCCTGCGTTATAATATATTTATATTATAAATATTACGGCTGGACTCGGAACGGTGCGGTTAATCGCTTGTTCGCTTATGAACATTTACTTATATAATATTATGATACTATAAAATAAATGTTATATGTTTATATGAATAACATACTTATATACTTACATTCAAAAACCCATTTTTGAACGGACAGTCAAATTACCATTTTGTTTGGGGGACCAAAATTCTCGTCCAATGTAAATTACGCATGCGATTTTTAAAAGCTGTACCTAAATATGCCTACTTATTTGTTGATTTTTATTGGTTCCTAATTAATTTACCATTTTTTTTTTGTTATTATTATTTAAGCACATTTTTATATTATACATAATATACCAGCAGATTTAACGTGTGTCCTTTTATATATTTAGCTCATCAATTTGTTTTTTTTTAGAATTTTTGTTATATACATTTGTACCTATTATTAAACTATTTACTGTGATGGATAATAATAATTATTAATTTGTATATTTTCGCCTGTAATATTATCATTTCAGATTTGAGCTAAGTATATATACATTTTTTTTTGTAATAGAATAAACCTTGTGATAATAGTGTTTTAAAACTTTGTTTTTTATTGATTTTATATTGTATCCAGGACCTATTTGAAATTTTCCTTTTGTTATTGAAACATAAGTTAGTTGAAATTCAAGAGTAACAGTGTGAATGAAACATAAGCAACAAAACATAGGAAGGTTGAACCCTGAATATTACCTATCATAAGTCATAACCATAAAAATATTCATGATTAAATTTCAATTTCAATTATATCGGTTAATTTTAATATAATATCTTGAGTGGTATAGACTAATTAGGTAATAGGTATAACACATGTTACATAACATTAGGTCCATACTAAATAATATATTAACATACAATGAAAATATATTATTGTATTCTTTATTAATTGTCTATGTATAAAGATAATATATTAAAACTAAAAGTACAAATAGAATAGAGAGATAGTAAAATTCATCTTTTTTATAATTTATTTGGTTTAATTTAATAAGTTCGATACAGTTTTGTTTGCAATACTGCCAATAGTTTCATTGGATTGAACTCTAATTTTTGTCTCAAAATTTGATACTATGCTATATGATCCGCCTAGAATAATCACAAAAAATGTCACCCAACAAATGTCTTTAATATACTATTTTTATTTAAGTTTTAAATTTATACACTTCTAACGAAGTACATATTACATATAAAAAAAAAAACTAATTAAACAAAACCATAGGTATATCTGAATTATAGATGAAACTATACAAAATTGTGTATGGAATATATAAAAGCAGTTAACATAATAATTTCGTACTACAGGAGATAAAAAAAAAATGCACCCAGTCTACTTCTTACTTTTCAATTTGTCGCTTTGTTCATCGAATGAAGGATCGCTTATGTTCAACATAAGACCATTTCCACTGAGGAAAACTTTGTTTTGAGAAGTGGCAATCTAAACAAAAAGTTAATGCTATTAATCAAATAAGTTCTTAAAATAATTAGTATCATCCTACCGTTCTAGAAATATTTTGTGCTGCTCTGATCTTACGAAGTTTCAAGTAACCAGGATTTCTGCCAACAGCTTCTCCTAAGTAGACATATCAGTTAAGGCAAAACTACATCATACATATTATGATAATACTGTAAACGTATAATAATAAAAGGATATCATTTTCGCTGCTTCAGCTTCTCCCTCAGCCTGTAAAATCTTTTGCTGACGCTCTTGTTTGGCTCTCTCAACGAAGAACACAGCTCGCTGTGCTTCTTGATGTGCTACTTGTTTTGCCTCAACAGCTGCAGTATACTCTTTACCAAAACTCAATTCAGTAATAGAAACATCATCTAAAATTATGTTGAAATCACGAGCACGATCAACAAGTTGTTTCCTAATTAGCAGTGAAACCTATAAAAAAAGTATTAGTTAAAAATCTTGTAATGCTCATATATGATGACTTTAAATAAAAAATGTATTTAATGAAAAAAACGGTTCATAATTCAATAATTTGATGAAATTGTTTGTAACTTTATTAATTTAATCAGATAGTCAATATATAAATTAATATATTAATATTTTTCTAAAATATATCTTACAAGGTCGAACAAGAAAATATTGTAATGATTTTTAAATTAATAATCATAGGTACATGATAGAAAAATTCTAAAATAATATAAGGCACACTTCAGTGTTTGTATACAAATCTATGCAGGAAGTTATAACAACTTGCTTTGATTACAAGTTTAGGGTTTGCGTAGCAAATATATTTTTTATTAAAATAATTCAAATTGCTTTTGAGTCACAACATTTGATCCATACTTTACTTTTGTAGTGAGGGTAGAGCATATTATAAAGAATTTTGTTTTAAAGTGGCCATACTATTTTTGATTCAATTTTAAAAATTATAAAAATAATCAAACTACATTTTTTGAATATGAAAGTAAAATATACTCCTAGAATCTGTAGAGCAAGAGAAAACGCTGCTAAGAGTGAACTAGTAGACTGATGGCCAAACACTCACTAAGGCACCATTTCCTCTCTTTAAAGCAACCCAACCACTCATTATCACCACCATTGGCAGAGCTACTAGTACCACCAATCATGTCTAGCCGTTGATATTGATAGGAGTGTTATAACTGGATGTGAAGCAGATAAGAAAAATTTTGGTTCGGTTAGTGTATTCTCTTGCTAGACAGAATATAGTCTTAGGTATAATTAACTATGAACATAATAAAATAAAAAAATTATTTGTAATGTATTTAATACCTGCTGTCTTTGTGTAATTAGTTGTGACGCATTGTACTTGGCAACCACTGATTTTAGAACTTCATTACAAATCGAAGGAAGAACTTTTTCATCATAATCAATACCTAAATGTTGGTACATATCTGGCAGCTTAATGGCATCTGGTCGAGATAATACACGAAGTGAAATGTTCACCTAACAAATTGAAAACACTAATTAATATGAAAACACATTACCAGTTGTAATTACAATATTACCATTTGTAAGTCTTTGGAACCTGTAGGTGAAGAGATTTTTCTTGGTCTTGACCTAATGTCAAAGATGACTGGGTATTGGAACCATGGGAGACGAAAATGTAATCCTTCAGGATAGACTTCTCTTTGTATACCACCAATACGATTGAACATAATGGCACGATGACCACCCTCAACTATAAAAATAGTAGTTATAGGTAAAAATTAATTTCTATATGCATACATATAGAAGATTCTATCTTTGATAAAAACTTAAGATGGAATCTTCACATTCAAAACCTAGTTGGAAAGTTACGCTCTATAACCTATAGATTCTACAAATTAAGGGGTTTAATTCCCAAGCAAACAATGCGGGTTATTTATTTTGCTCTATACCAATCGATATTACAATATGATATGTTAGTATGGGGTGGATTAAGTGATACTGTTTTAAACAAATTGCAAGTTAACCAGAATAACATTATAAGAATTTGCCTTAACAAGTACTTTATGCAAGGTTCTACGAATCAAAATTACAAGGAACTGGGTGTTTTACCAACCAAATTTCTATATAAAAAAATTGCCATTTTGTTCATTCTAAAAAGGTTCACTCAAGATAAAGATAACAAATTGTTGGAAGGTAAAAGAGAAATAACACGGTATAATATACCTGTCAAATATTCGAATAAATCTTTTGGTCAATCTTTTGTAAATTATTTGGGCCCAGTGTATTTTAACGGTATGCCATGTCAATATAAAAAAAATATTCACTGTTCCAAAATTAATGTTAAAAAAATTGTTTATCATTGGCTATTTTCTCAATTAACCTAACTCTCTCCAATCCTTTGCTATATTTTGTATTTTATATTTTATGTTATGTTATTTTATTTTTTTCATATTCTATATTTAATATGTTATATGTAATATTTAATATCATCTCTCATTCTTACAATTTTTCTATTGTTAAAAATATTTATTTATTTGTATTAATCTTTTTTTATTTTTATTTTTATTTTTTTTTTCATTACTTCTATTGTTCATTCATCACTTACTGTGCTACTCATATATTTTCATGTGTATACTTCTTAATTAATTAAATATTATTACTCTCTATCTCTAACACAAGCTAAAAGCTTAAAAGAGATAGATAACCATGTAACCCATAGATTCTTAACCTTTCCTGGTCCATGGACCCCTTTGAAGTATAAAATATAATCACGGACCCCCCAAAAAAAAAAAAAAATAATAATAATATTTAAATAAATGTAAAAATGAAATTTTTATTATTTTTTAATGATAAATCTAATACATAATACTACTAATAACGAAATCTATATTAGATTATTATGAATAATCACTTTCTTATAGTCAAATAAAATTTCTAATGTGACATTTGTTGTTGTTTTGATTGCAATATTGCCTTGAAATCTGGGACCGTATTTGACAGAGCAACGCGCATATCGTCCTTAATGTCCAATCGATTTCTTGATTTAGTTTTAATTGTGACCATTGTGGAAAATTCAGACTCACAAAGATAGGTAGTAGCGAATGGAATCAAAAATTTCATTGCCCTGGATACAGCTCGTGGATAAGCCATCGACAACGAACACCAAAATTCGATTAGATTTAGACCACATACTAATTCTACCATTTCTAATGCACATGGTTTTATTAGTGACTCGCCAATTGTATGTGGTTTTTTACTTTTAGCAATGCTTTAATCTACTTTGTAAGAAGCTTCGAGACATGGTTTTTGCGGAGGTACAAATCCAAGTTTGGGTAATGTACCGGCTTTTTCAAAACGTGCTTTTTTTATTTGAAATACTTCCAGACTATCTGGCGCATGTTGAGGATGTACCGAAGCAATATGTTCTTTAAGCTTTGTTGGTTTCATGCTGCCATTTGCAAGTATTTTTCCGCAGATAAAACATTTTGGTTTTTGTGTACCATCGCGTTCGGTAATATATGTAAAACCAAACGACGTATAAGAGTCATCGTACTTTCTTTTTTTCGACATTGTAATAATTATTAAAATGTTAAAAATATAAAAATAAAATGGTGTGAAAACTAGAGTGAATATTATAACGACGGTTGAGTTGGACAATGCACAACGCGACGGCGACAGGTCAACTGAAGTGATGGGTATTGGGTTTCCATGTTCAATTGAAATGCTCGTTAGATTATATTATTATATGCCCGTATATTATTTTACGATTCCGATAACTTTATCGTTTATAATTTATATGACATAATATAAGATTATCGTTATCTAAATTATTTGAGGGCAAGACATTTTTATTGTTATCTTTAAAACACTATCGAAACAAATTTAGTTTTGGCTTTTTAAAAAAAAAATTCATAGCTACTCCGTGGACCCCCGAGTAATCATCTACGGACCCCCAAGGGGTCCATGGACCCCCGGTTAAGAACCTATGATGTAACCTAACGTAATATTTTTGTATCCTATATAATTTATGATGGTTTTTGAATAAAAAAAAAAAAAAAATACATTGTTCAGAATAAGTCTATGTCATATAAGCTATGTCAGATCATACAGTATTACAGAGAATTAGGTGTCCACGGCAATTGTCTGTACAGTGGGGCAGTTGCGTAAATTAGAACCATATTTCATCCGCTGCTTAAGGCATTCTTATTCTGAACACAGTATAAAACATATAGGGCGTGATAAAAATTAATCAGAAAAATAAAGTTGTACCCAAAAAATTATTTATGTTAAGGAAGAAAGGAATGATACCTAAGAAGTACATACATTAATACATTAATATAAATTATGATAACACACTAACATCTACAACTATATAGAAATCTGTGTGATAAATTAAAAATATTTTTTATAATAATATTAATGATTCAAATTTATAATATTTGATTTATTATTATGTGCATTTGCAGCAGATTAAGTATGAACTTCTAGTAACGGGAGATCAAAAACTATGGTCATAATTACTGAATGACAAATACTGACACCTCAATAATATGAGCTATTACAAAAACAACTTAAATGCTGTTGTTCAAAACTTTAAATTCATCTTTTAATAAAAATCAAATTTGGAAACCCAGGAATGGAAAAACGTAATATTATGTTACCTGTGAACATGGAATTGGCCAAACCGTAGCCTACGAGTCCAACACCGGCGACCAGTTTCATGCCTAAGCCCAGACCTTTAGCCGCTCCCATTTTGTTGACAAAGTCGTTCACCTTGTTGTCCATACTTAGTGCCTTGTAATTTATTATTTACTTTCTAAATTTTACTGAAAAACTGTCAGAAAATAAAAAAAATGTGAAATTCTCAATTCTGAATCCTAATCTGTCCTGAGGTCTGTGAAGAGAACGAAATTTTTTTATTATCACTTCTGTCATAACCTCAAAACCACCGGTATTAATGTGTTACATAGGTGGTTATTTGGTTCATAGTGGTTAACAGTGGTTCATAAAATAGTAAGCGTGAAATGTGTGATAAAAATAATAGCATTGTAAATTTGTAATATTGTATCCACCACGAATTTATTAAAGTATAATAGTATATATTTTTAATTTATGGACTTGACTACTTGAGGTATCCACGACCCACATCACGATGACACGATAATAGTTAGAATATTAGAATATCTATCTATCTATAGGTAACCGTGATCCACATTCCACATTGATATCAATAATAATAATAGGTACCTATACCTACCTTAGGTAATTGTGTTTTGAAATTCGAAACATTAGGTAAATACTAATTCGATCGTCAAGTGGTCAACTGTCGTTTACGGTTTACTCATACTTCTAAGACCTTATATTCGACACTTCTTAGTATTGTATTTGTATAAATACATTCATTAGTAGTTCGGTGGTCTAAGGGTGACCGCACACTGGTAAAGCAAAATTGACTGAAGAAATGTAGGTCATATTTAGTCATTTTACTTTAATCATAATAAAGCATTTTTGTCGCAAACAAGATAAAACATAGTTAGTCAAATCAAAGTATATCAAGTAGTCGTCAAAATGTCGTCCGACGAGGAGGACGTTGCTATTCCTATGTTATGATTTCTTTTAAGAGAAATTGAACAGGAAGAAAATAATAAAAAACTTTGGGTTCGTCCTTTGAACTTGAAACGAACTGAAAATAATACAATTAAATGTTATATTCATGAACGTCAAAATGACTAATGTAAATTTAGAAAATTTACAAGAATGTGTACCGACACGTTTGATTATATTCTAGAAATACTTAACGATAAAATTCGAAAATCTGATACTAATTTCAGAAAAAGTATCAATCCAGAAGAGAAATTATTGGTGACATTGAGGTAAGTTAATATAAAATTCTAAATAATTAGATATTATACTTACCCTTATTTAATATTTGCCCTTATAGCCTTAATACATGGTAATATTACAATAAACACAAATTAATAATTTATTTTTTTAAATGTATTTATTAATTCTTTTTACTCTATATTTGTAGGAACATGACATGGGTTATTGAATATTATAAGCTCATAGTCATCAAATAAGAGCACAGATTAATTAATAACAATTTTTATATAGTTTTGCTAATAAATAGATTATGTTTTTCAGATCTTCAAATTTTATTCATTTTAAAATTTACTTTATTAATTTTTAATTATTAAAGTTATGAACCGTGGTTCATGGTTCTCGTCATTTATTATAAAACGTCAGGTCGATACATCAAAAACATTTTTCGCCACCAGACTTTTTCAATCCTTTGCGGACTTTTTCTCATTTTGGGGCCGGATCCTTAAGTCAAGTCACTACAAAAGAATTATTGGTAAAAGGAAAATTGAAAAAAATAAAATTGATTTAATTAATTATTGATTTTTATTACTTTTATTTATCTTGTAACAAACGCTTAATATAAATTTAAAAATAATAAAATATAACCTTTTTGTCTTTTTGTTTAATTAAAAAAAAAGACATCTCTTATCGCTATAGTTGACTTTTGTACCAATGTACTCTTTCGCATATAAAATTACTTGTGGTTTTATTTTTGTTGAACTAGGGGTACTTTTAATTTTTTTTGCCAAATCTTTGTGCACTTCCCATCTATTTACACGGCTTACATACGCTATATAATGATCATGTCCATAAAAAACTGCTCCGGATAATATATATTTAAAACAATTAATTAAATAATATATTATTTTGAAATAATTATATACAATACCTGTTATTGTCAATTGCCAGACTAGTGACTACACTGAGACTCAGCCAATGAGTACTCTTGATATTCAGTAATTTAATCTGTTTCAATAAATAAATGATTTTCTAGAATTCTCGTTACAATTAAAAATCCCAAACAGTTTAGTTCTGTGCATTTAGTTTTTTTACTTCACTGTATTCTTTCAAACTAATTTCCATATCATTGAGATTGTGGAATGATAATTTTAAAATTATTGTTGGACTTGGTATAGTTTTCAACGTAGCACAGTTGAAACACAGTCGTTTTTCAACGGCGGATGGCACATTTTCAAACCACGAAAATTATAAGGAGTTGTGAGTTATATAAAACAAATAGGTTTATAAGACTGCGAGTGAGCTGCATTACTATTTTATTTTTAGATGGGATGAAATTTGTGAAGTTGAAATGTCGAAAATTTTTCCAAAATATGCAAATTAAGCACAATAACGTAAAAATAAGCGGTTTCCCTCAAAATGTATGAACTATGCAAAATATGCACATTCAAATTTTAGATTTGGTATGAATTTATTATAGCACTCTGCTACATTTTACAATAAATAAAAAAGTATACAAATGCTATAAGTCCCGAACCTTGGTCATAAGGTTTTTTCCCCCGTCACTTACCTTTACGTGAGAGCCTTAGTTAGGTACCTACACGGCTGTATATTTATTAAATTATTTATTACACTATAGCGTAGTAGTATAATATAATCACACAATTTTTTAGCAAATACTGCACACTATTATAGAATAATATTGTTTGACTACATATTAATGCCGAGCCCAGAGAGAATATTATATTCACGATTAAAGTATCCATTTTTTTATTACATCTGTAAATTTCAAAGCCTAATTTTGAATTTTTTTCATGTCCCGACACTTCTAGAGTTTTATATTAAGTTATAGTTTAACCGTTAAGACTAAAAACAATATTGTGAAATGCCGGACAAAAAAATGGACAGTAGAGTATCTAAATGGCCTATATACGCAGAATTCCGTGTTCTGAATTGTTTAGATTTAAACACTCCGAATAATATTATGTTTCGTAATCTGAAATAAAAATGTATCATGTCATCTAAAGAATTCAGAAACTCGAAAACTGATAACAACATATCATATGATAATATCTATCACCTATGGCAAAAGCCGATCGTCGTCACTCGTCGGAGACGATTCACAATTTTAATAATTTCATTGAACAAAAGAGAAATGTGTAAGGCAACAATAAACATTTACTCACATATTTCATTCTACTCAAGTAATTTTTATAAAAAATCTCGAATTTTTTCAGTTCGGGTATAAATGAAGAAAGAAGTTCCTCGATATGGCGTCTGCACTCAAGATATAGCCTTGAAGCTATATATTACCCGAAGAGTCGATGTATACGTAAATTTGATTACCTATTCTTTTGGGGCTTACATATTTTACTTTTTAGTCTCAAAATTAAAATTTATTGTCACAGACAATTTGCTGCCCGGGTAAAGTAGGGGCATATTTTTTGTTCCCGAGCGCGCAACACAAAAAAATACGCTTATATAGCACAAACGACGACGGCATATCCAGGTCGCTGAATAATAACATATTTATACAATTAAATAGATATAAATAGTGTTGTACATACTAGTCATACTACAGTAGTACAGTACACGGGAGTTCTTATGTCCCGCGAAATTCAACAATTTTTAGTTTATGTAAATGTTGACTGTTGAGTAATGTATGAATATTACTATGCCGTCTGCTTGTGGTCGAACCGCGAATTAAAGTGACGCCGTCGTACATCAAACATCAAATTATTTTATAAAGCTGGGAAAGTCGCTCTGCTGATTATTGAATATCTATCGGAAATTAAATAAGGAAATTTTAAATAATCTCGAATAGCTTAAAATGTACCTAACCAATGCACTCAAAATGAATACATAAAATATTAATTATTAATTTCGTGCTCGACAGTATTCAGAGAAAAGATTTAACTTGGAATTTTACAAAATATATTTGGTATAGTCGGTATACGGTAAATGTGATGCATTGGGCACTGAATACTTTTATATTTAATCTAAAAAGTAGTAATCACATTTATTTACTATACGATTTTTATTTAATAACTCATAAATAAATACGCTTGTGCTTTGAATATTTAAACACCACCTTTATTAATTATTAAATTAAAAATTAAAATAATAGGTACTTTATATATTTTTGTAATTTAAATTTTAAAATTATAAACTATTTCGGTTATTGTTATACCTCATTTCATTATCTTGATGATCAAATCTCCAACACGGACCTCCTTGATATAAAAATTTGTAATACACTATATACCTATGGTTTTATCATATTGACGTAGTATAAATTATAATGCAATCCGTGGCGATTGTCGAAGTAGTTGCAAAGACGCAATCGATCTAAAATTTCAGTTAGCAAAGCTGCAGACATGAACAAGAAACATGAAGCGATCCGTACTGTTTTTTTTTCATAATAAATCTCAATATTTTCAGACTTAAGTTCAGTCGTATATCTGATTTATTCCGCAGTTCACACACAATATCAGGAATTCTGCCGAAGCCCGAAAGCGTCGATGTTTAAAGTAATTAATTTTGGGTTCATACTTTTTTAGTGCGTAAATTTATTTTTTAAATAAAAATTTAATTTCATGAAAAATATGTTACCCCTATGAACACACATATTATTTTATTTCTAAGAGCAAATGCATAAAATACGAGAGATCAAATAATATACAAACTCTGCTCGTCGTCGTTTTTCTGCTCCCTGATCGTAGGGAAATTGTATAATTATAACCTATTTTTAAGTACTTAAAATAGACATTCATTATACGGTTTAATTTAGAAATACCCGTTATAAGTGATTACTCATAAGACACAACTTTAATTTATAACTTATAATTTTTTTTAAATCCAAAGTTGGCTGTTACAGGACACTATTAATTTAGTGTTACATATATTTCATTGTTCTATTATAATATATTAATATTACATTATATTATAGTTGTATACAAAAAACAAAAATGTTCACAGAGTGGTAAACTCACTATCCTAAAAAGTAATCGCCCCGTACGAGTGATTATGAAAAATATACTTTTATACTAGTATTATAGGTGTCTTTATACAATATAATATATATGTTTATTAATAGTAATGAAATA